CATTTGTGATGCCTAAAATCGATGAAGGATTAATATCTGAGAATACAAGAGACAATTTCATATCAACCAAGACAAAGATAACTCCACTGGATAAGTCAACAAAGGATACGAAGAGGCAATTTATAGCAGAGGAAAGTCACATGACTACAAAGCATATGAAACAATGATGAAGCTTAATAGTAATCAGAGAAATATGGTTAAAATGACTAGCAGATATTGCCTAATAAATTCATTGGTAAAAATTAGGAAGTTAGAAAATGACAAATGTTTAAGGGATGTGGGGATACCTGAATCCTCATGCACTGCTGGAGGAAATGTAGATTGATGCGATCATTCTGGAAAGTGAGCAGGCACTTATGCATAGCCTATGCCCCAGGAATCCCACTCCAGGCATAGATTCAAAGAAATCCTCACACATGTCCATAAGGAGAAGTATTTGAGTATAATTATTGCACATTGTTTTCGATATCAGGTAATTGCAGGCACTTTTGCTATTTCTTCCTGGGAGAGTGGATAAGTAAAATGTACTCTTTCCAAAATTCGCATGCACCCATGCACACACAAGCACATACATACAAGATGTAAAACTCAACAGCCTTAAGAATAACGAAATCTTTCTTTCCGCAAATCTGATTTGCATGAGCTTATTCCTAATTCTAACCATGGAAGATCTCATATTTTTCTTGAGTCACAGCTCACCTACCTCACACATAACTTACCATACGAGGTTCAGAGGATATGATTTCCAAAACCTACAATCTCCTAAGACACGCAGGTCATAAGAACTACGCTTTTGCATTTTTCCACATTCTGAGCTCCCAGTGCAGGAACAAGCCAGTTCCTCTGGTTATCCTGAAAGTCCTGAAGCCGCACTTGATTCTGCTCTGTCTTCCTTCCAAGACACTAGACCTCTCTCTAAATGAGACCCTTAGCAGCAGCTCGGGTTCTATTGACAGACTCCCCACGGTGGCCGCCCACTTAAACTTCAGAGCCTCAGCCATCAGTAGTCCTGCCTCCTTTCCTTCCACACTGAGCCCTTTGTAGTTCATCTTACACCTCTCACCAACTCTTGACTTTGATCAGGATAGGATCCTGCTGAGTTCCAGGAGACCTTGAATTTTGCCTGTTTGAAATTCACTTGAATCAGCTGAAGCCTTACTGGCACCTGGGCACACTTTTCAGCATGCTGCCCTAGATGGCTCCAATTGGTAGGCCCTGGCCACGCCGACCTGCCTTTTATTCTTACTTGAACAATAGACTACGATGCGTAATGCAGGAGGCTGAACAATGGTCCCTGAGTTAAGTCTTCATGACTTTCGCTGGAACCTGTGAATGTCACTTTGTATGGCAAATGGGACTTTTCAGACGTGATTGATTCAAGGATCTTTAGATGAGGGAAATTCTCCTGGATTGTCCACAGGGCCCAATATAATCACAACATTATTGGGATGAAGGAGGAGTTACACTGAGAGGAGAAGGTGATGTGATGATGGAAGCAGAGATTGGAGCGATGCACTTTGAAGATCAGGAAGGGGCCACAAGTCAAGGAATACAGGCAGCTACTAGAAGCTTAAAAAGGCAAGGGAACGTCAGAGCCTCAAGAAGGAGCCCGCTTGGCGACACCGTGACTTTAGCCCAGGGAAACTGATTTTGGACTTCTGAAGTCCAGAACTTTAAGAGAATAAATTTGCCTTGATTTAAGCCACTAAATTTGTGGTAACTTGTTTCAGCAGCAACAGAAAACTAATACGCCCAATAAATCACTCTTAAGATATTATACAGACAAGCGCTAGTCATTAAACCCAATGGTTTTTCCTTTTCCTCTTCCTTCTTAGCCTTTCTTAGGAGGTTGCCAGACACAATGGGAAGAACATGGGTTTTCAGGGGGAAAAAAATCCAGATCTGGTTCTAATTAGTGTTTCCATGCAAGAATTCTTTCTTGGCATTTCTCAGAAAATTTGCGTTTTTCTAAATCCTGAGAAAAATCAGTTGAGAAATTGGGGAAAGGGGAAAAGTATTCTAATTCTTTAGTGAGAATTAAATCTTAACAATCAACATAGGAGAGGAGTTTCATGATCTAATTAGTCCCTCTTGCTTGTAGCTGTTGCTGTGTTGTAAGTGTGTGCTTCTGGCCCTCTCTGCTGCTATCAGTGAGTCATTCTGGCACAGAAAACAAATACTAATAAGTTTATACACATCATACACTTTATTTAAACCCTATGAATGATGTTTTAAGAAATAAGTTTTAGAAGCAAATAAATCCTTAAATTGGCAATTTCTACACAAGATTCTTTGTAGTTCTGTTAATCTTGCTAGGAGATTCAAATATTACATTATTTGAAAACTAGCCAGTACTGTTTGCTGGCATTTGCCAGTGTTTAAACATTCACTAAACTTTGTAAATACTGCTACATTTAATATTTAGCAAAAAAATTTTAGATATACATAATAATGAGTAATATGTCCTAGGAATGTTGGAAGCATTTTAAGAATAATTTAGGATTTGGGGGAATTCCTGAGAAATCCTAGAAATTATGATATCTCATTCTTGAACCCCACAAATTAGTACCTATGAGCAATTTGGAAGCTCTAGTTCAAACCCCTACTCTATCATTTTGCTGGTTGCACAATCTTGGGCAAATTACTATTTGGAGCTTAAATGTCCTCGTGAATCAAAATGGGACAATAATACACCATAGGTTTGCTGCAAGAATTAAATAAGATTATACATTGGAAGTGCCTGAGACATAATAAGTTTTCAAAAAAACATAGGGGTAAATTTTTATAACCTTGGATTCGGCAATGAATTCTTAGATATGAGACCAAAAACACAAGCAACTAAGGATAAAATAGATAAATTGAACTTCAGCAAAATGAAAAACTTTTGTGCATCAAAGGACATTATCAAGAAAGTGAGAAGATAACGAACAGGATGGGAGAAAATATTTGCAAATTATATATCTGGTGTATACCTGATCATATTTCCAGAATGTATAAAGAGATCCTAAATCTCAACCAAAAAACACAAACAACCCAATTTTAAAAAAGGCAAAAGACTTGAGTAGATATTTCCACAAAGAAGAGATGCAAATGACCAATAAGCACAGGAAAAGATGCTTAGCATCCTTAATCATTAGAGAAATGCAAATAAAAATCACAATGAGAGATCATTGTACACTCATTAGAATGACTACAATAATAACAATAAAATGGAACATAATAAGCGCTGGCAAGGATGTGGCGAAATTGGAATCCTGTGTTTCAGGTTGGAATGTAAAATGGTACAACTGCTGTGGAAAACAGTTTAGTGGTTCTTCAAAAGTTAAACATAGTATTACCATGTGACCTAGCAATTCTACTCCTAGGTATATACCCAAAAGAATTGAGAGTAGGGACTTGAACAGATATTTGTGACAACATTCACTGTAGCATTATTCACAATAGCTCAAATGTGGAAGCAACTCACGTGTCCATCAGCAGATGAATGGATGAACAAAGTATGGTATATCCATACAGTGGAATATTATTCAGTCATAAAAAGGAAGGAAGTTCTGACACATGCTACAACTTGGATGAACCTTGAACACATTATGGAGAGTGAAATAAGCCAGACACAAAAGAACAAATAATGTATGATTACACTTACATGAAATATCTAGAATAGACAAATCTATAGAGACAGAAAGGACAGCAGAGTTTCCCTGGGCTGCGGCAGCATGGGGAGTTACCGCTTGACAGCCATAGATTTTCTGTTGGGGTGACGAAAGAAGTTTGAAGTGTAAGTGATGATGGTAGCACAACACTGTGAATGCAGTTAATGTCACTGAATTGTACATTTAAAAATGGTTAAAGTGGCAAATTTTATGTTAAATATATTTACCACACACAAAAAAGAACTCGGAAGAAAAGCAAAAAACACCCCCCACCCGCAGTTCCATAGGCTAATGAATTCGAATTGTAGTTTGCAACCTTTTGATCACCCTTGCTCTAGGGCAGAGACACAAGTCCCATGGTTCTTAGCCCGGCCCTTCGAGGGAAAACGGACCTTCAGACAAGGTGTGTCTCAAAGGTATTTATTTGGGAAGGGACCCAAGAAACAGGAGTGCAAGAGTGCGGGGAATGAAATGGAAAATAAGGGCAGAAATTCCATCGTACATTCTGGGCTCCATCATGCTCGGCACTCCTAGGAGCTGTGGAGAATGTGCTCCGGAAAGGTGGCTCTTATCACTCACCGCCCTCCCCCCTGGAGACAGGTTGGCCATGAATTCATGTGCTCGCACATCAGAGCTGGCGGGATGGAGCGTCTGCTACAGGCCTCCTCTCTCTTCCCAGCTGCAGCGTCAGAGAAGCCCCAGACCACAAGGTGAACAAGACGCCAGGGGAGCTGAAGCAAGTGCCATCAGGTGATGTGTGGGGTAACGGCGAGCCATGGTGCACACAGTTATGGGATTACAATCTCTCCCACGCAGCAAAGCCCTCGTCAGGAAAGCTTGAGCATATTTAGTTTAGAAATTTCTAGTAGCTTCACACTCTATCAAATGAAGTTTGAAACTATTAACTGAGATTTCGGAAGCCTCCACAATTTTACCTCATCTGTCCAGAATTGTCTTCCGTGACTCACCTCCAGGTATTTGTAAGTTCTAGCCCAACCACTCGGCTGGTTTGTGTTCCCCAAACACAAGACAATTTCCTGTCTTTGCACCTTTGTTTGGCTCATTCCCACCATCTGGAAATCGCTTCTACTTTTTGAAAAAACACTTAGTCTTAAAACGAACAGATCAAATCTCTTCCCTACCAAGTCCTTCCAGAACGCCGCCTGGCAGGGATCAATCCGGGCCGGGCCAACCAATCGGGTTGTGGCTAACGAATCAGGGCGTGGCTAACATATCAGGGCGTGGCTAACGAATTGGGGCGTGGCTAACATATCAGGGCGTGGCTAATGAACCAGGGCGTGGCTAGCCAGGAAGGTTTCCTGGAGCTCAGACAGAGGACAGGATAAACCCTACTGTATACACAGGGCGTGTGGAGCTAGGGAACTAAGATGTCCTGTTCTGAAGGAGCACAAATGCAGACGTGAGAAAAATGGTTTAAAACTGGATTTCTCTTTAAGGAGGTTAAATAGAGAGCAGGTATGAAAGCACAGCATAGCTGGAGAAATCAAAGGATATGTTAAAGGAACAGCTCATGCTGGTGGGTGGGTGCATTTAAAGGGAACGAGCTGAAACCGAGTCTGGCCAGAGGTTCCCTCTTCCTGCTCTGGAGCCTCATGGCAATCCACACTCCTCATACGTCACTCAACAAACCTTGCACCAGGATGACAGCTATTTGCACACTTGCTTTACCACCCCTCATAGATGGTAAGTTCCTTGTGAACTAGGATCCCACTTTTTACACTCTGCACAGTAGAAGGCACAGTGTCTTTCAAAATGGAAGGTCAATGGATATATGTCGGATTGAAAAAACACTACACACCAACATAATTTTGGCAAAACAAAGTGTAGAATTATATTCATAATCCCTTTCTAAGTTGTAATTAGATAGGAAACACCATAAATATAGCTTCTTAGGGAATTCAGAAGGAGGCAGGGAGGAACTGAGATTGTAAGTATTACCCATATATCAGTGCTACGTGTGTTCACATGTGTTCATTTAATCCTAGTGGCTGTTCTGTTTAAGGATGGGGAATCTTCGGCCCTGGAGGCTATGTAAAGTCACAAGGCTAGACAGTGGCTATCTGATGCCAGAGGCTCTGACCTTGTAACAGTGCCAAAGTTATCTGGGATACATACGCTGGGGGGTTTGTCAGGCCAGCAGTGTGCTACTCTTAGGAGCAAAGATCAGTAATACCTAGGGAGTTCGGAATTTCAATGGCCAGATCTAATAGTTTGAAGATATTCATTGTAGCATTATTTATAGCAGCAAAAACTTGGAGAAAATCTAATGCCATTACAGGAGTGGATGGAATATTTGGCAAATATTATAATGATGATTATGGAGACTGGAAATTTGGAAAGAGGTTGATAATAAAATGTCACCTAAAAAAGTCACAGAACAAGTGTCTTCCAACCTCGTAATACTCATGTAGCTGAGCTAACTCTGAAACAGAAAAACCGAAAATGTCAGTGTCTGTAATGTCAGAGTCATCTGACTGTAGGTGATTTTTGTAAAATAAAATTTCCAAATTTTCAGCAACTTTGTTGAGTTTCTGGAACAATTAAATGCCAAAAAGAGGCCAAGGGAAATCTTCCTCATGGAAAGTACAATATCTTATTCACGCTGTTTTGTTTTAATTTATGAGCCAGACAGCACCAGAGATGTCCAGGACAGACCTTGGAGCTCTGCTTCTCCTGCTTTGGAGACCTGTTGCTGATGCTGCCATCAGCGCCAGCCCCAGCCCATTTGAAGAGGTAAATGAAGCAGCAATATAAAAAGAGGCTAAAGTTAGAAGGCATTTTGGCAATCGGCAAACTCAGTCTCCTTATTGTACAGATGAGGACTCTGAGGGCCATAGACCCCCAGGGAGGCAGGAGCCTGGAGTAAACGATGGCCCCAAGGCCAGAGATAATGGCTCCTGGTATTCCTAAAGCACCAACATCCTTCAGCCTTGTGCAAAGGCGGCTGTGACGTCCCACCCCTATCTCTGTCCACTGTCTTAGATTCCAGCTACCTCTCCCAGCTCTTGCAAATCACCGAGGCATCACAGCCTCCAGTACATGTAATTGCTTGGATTTTTAAAGAAAAGATAAAAAGGAAAATGAAGGAAGTGTAGAGGAGGAGAAGATAAGCCACAGAACCTTAGATCTAAAAGGTTCCATAGAGACTTCAGAGTGGGAAGAAAACAGGGAATGCCTGAGGTTGCCTGACCTGCAATGTATCGGGTGGCTGGGTGTTATGGAGTAAATGTTTGTGTCACCCTTAAATTCATGTGTTGAAATCTTAACCCTCAATGTGATGGTGTTAGGAGATAGGGCCTGTCAGGTGATAGTTGGTTCATGAGGATGGAGCCCTCATGAATGGGACTAGTGCCCTTATAAAAGGGACCCCAGAGAGCTCGCTCACCACTTCTGCCATGGGAGGACACAGCGAGACGTTGGCAGTCTGCAACCCAGAGAAGGACTCTCACCAGAACCCAACTGTGCTGGCACCCTGTTCCTGGAATTCCAGCCTCCCAAACTGTGAGGAATACATGTCTATTGTTTGTAAGCCACCCGGTCTATGCGACGTTATGATAGCAGCCCGACGAGACCAAGACAGTGGGAATGGGGTGAGACTCTAGGTAGAACGCCTTGCTAGTTGATCCAAAATGACATGGAAGCTGGGAGGAGATGAAGGGAAATAAACAGAAGCCCCAGCAATGAGCTGTCTGTACCAACCCCCACGTTCCCCTGCAGACCTAGTCAACCAGGGGGCTCTGTGATAAGTGAGTTGATCACCACCCATTGTTCTCATCTGAACACTCATTTACGGAGGAGAAAACAAGGGAGGAAATGACTTGCTCAATACTGTTCAAGGAGGTCCCAGCAGAACTGGAGCCAGACTCCAGGCTGCATGCTCACCTTGAATGCAGACGTCTGCCCAGCTCTGATCCTCGAAGTCTCAGGTATTTTCCTGAGGTGCCATTCACAGGTGCTCCAGGTCTCTCAGCATCCTTCTTTAACCAGAAGATTTTCTTTTATTTATTTATTTGTTCGTTTGTTTATATTTTGCTGAGGAAGATTCACCCTGAGCTACCATCTATTGGCAATCTCCTTCTTTTCGTATATGAGCTGCAGTGACAGCATGGCCACTCACAGACGAGTGGTGCAGGTCTGTGCCCAGAACCGAACTCAGGCTGCATAGCACAGCGCAGGAACTTAACCCCAAGGCCATGGGGCTCACCCCTGAAGATCGTCTTTTAAAGTGGAGCTTCCTCATGAGATTTTGCTTGTGGAAAGGGTTCCATGGCTGGGAGACTCAGAAGCCACTTTCCCACTTGGTGCTGTCCCCACAGTACTAAGTACCCCCATCTTAACAAAGACATATGATTCTTTCCCCTAGTGAAGTTTCTTTATTGTTTAATTTTTCTCCTAATGAAAGAAGACCTGCAAAAAGAGCATATAGAAACTCTCATCTGCTCAGACCTGCAAGCGTCAGGATCTACCTGCAGAACACTCCACCCGCAGACGGAACTCAGAGAGCCCTGCCTCCCACTTCCCCTTGCCCCTACATGCCCTGGGTCCTACCTTATGGAGCAGGAGGAAGGAACATGCTAGATTCCTGCAAACTGTGTGAGACAAGAGGGTATCTGAGTCTTACTTGAAGTGCAGCTGTTAAGCTTGGTGATGTGGGAAGATGCCAGAAGGAAGATGTTGCCACTGTCTTAGTTTTTCCTCTACGTTCAGAAATTGCTCAGGACAGTCTGGTTAGGGGTAAGGGTGGAAAGGAGTGGGGTGGTTTGGAGTTGGCTCTGATAAGGCAAAAGTCACGAGTCCCAGATGCAACGCCCAGCGAGGTGAAGTGTGGCCCCCTGGCCTGGTTGACTCTCCTGTTAGCTTTTCCTCACAACAGATTCTTTGCAAGAGGAGACTCTGAGCCAGCCTATCTGTCACCATAAAACACTAACACGAGGCAGGGCCTACTGCAGAGTTAACCTTATCTGAAAGGCATTATGTGATCAAGGGAGAGTTGGCAGCCTTCGTGTGCTCTGCTCAACAGAAAAGGCTGAAGTGCTGATTTTCGCTTCTCCAGCTCATTTCGGCTCAGCTAAGGGAAGGAATAGCAAACACAATGTCAGTGTGATGGCTGAAAGGATACAAACCAGACACAGGCTTGCTCAGTTAAGTACATTCAAAGGAGAAATATTTATATTTTACATTTTAAATAGTCCCCGAGGGATGCGCAATATGTTTTTCATCTCGCTTGTGTTTAAGAACTTATCGTACTTGAAAAGCAGAGCAGGCCCGCAAGCTGTGGATTCAAATGATAGGGATTCTCTTATCGTATAGATCAAAATAACAGACTCAGAATACAAACGAGGCTTTCTGTGCAAACGCACGCAATATAGGGTATTCAGAAAGAAAGGTAAATGATTGCCCTGATGATAAACAGGCACACCGTCACTCCCCTGGAGGTCTGGACGCAAGCGGCTAAGAGGTAACATGTGTCTCCAGCTTCTTCTGTATAATTATGTAACACAAATGCACATTTTCGGGAATGTGTTTCCTGGGACTCTGGGCAAAGGATATACAGATTTGTGCAAAGGGGGAATCAGAAACATTCCAGGAAAACTCACAGATGGCGGGGAAATAGGCAGGTAGATTTCTGATCTGGGTTGACCTGCAACTTACAGTGTGGATGGAAACGGGGCTGTTTTAAACTGTGAGTCTCTTGAGAGAGAATGATGACTTTCGAGGGCCCTGTGTGATCAGAAAGAGACATGTGTGGCTGAGTTGCTCTTTGTGGACACAAAGGACCACCCAAGTGTATGAAAAGAGCAAGGACTGATGTTAAGGGGTTGGAAGCAATCATTATCTAAAGAAACAAAGGAAAGAGGTAACATGCAGGACAATTCAATGGGTGAATCCCACTTCTCATTTCCATCATGGGGTACCACTTTCAATTCTGTACAAATACCAGTATAGTTTGCTTCAGTGTGCGGGATGCAGGAACTCTGCCAGGGTTTGGGTCCCCACTTCATCACTCTCTAGCTGTGTGACTTTGGCCAGTTCCTCTAATCTCTGAGTCAGTTTTCTTATCTGATAAATGGAGGAAATAAGAGTATTTATCTTTTTTTATTTTAATAAACGTATGGTACTTACTATATACTGGAAACTATTCTAAATACTTAGAACTATTTACTCATGGATTCTTATAATGAGCTTTAAATAGGTAGAAAAGGTTGTTGTGAGGGTTAAATGAGGTACTTTATAAAACATTTATAAAACAGTGCCCAAAATATAGAAAGTGCTTGGCCAATGTCACTGATGTCATTATTATTGTTTTTGAATGGACTCAATTTAAGCTTTATTCATTTTCTTGTAACCAAGCTGATAAAAAATATTATTAACAGAAATAATAATATGATAGCTATCATTTATGGACTGCTTATTACACACCAGGAATTATGTTAGGTTGCTTACACAAATCATATCCACCTTACAAGACAGAAAGTGTTCCATCTGTGATGGGAATGAAGTTCAGAGAGGTTAAGGAGTTTGCTTAAGTGAACACAGCGAGCAAATGTCAGAGGCAGACCTCAAAACCCATGCTCTTTCAATATGCCAGGCTATGGAAGGCAGGATTAATAAACTAATTGCATTATCAGTAAGGTCTGAGAAAAAAAAGACCATAGCGAAAGATAGACTCAAAACAGACAGGCAGCATGGAGGTTGGAGGAGGAGGCAGGAGAGTTGTGTTCTGGGCTCAGCTCTGCCAATGGCCAACGGCAGCACCTTGGCAGGACTGTCCCACTTCCCCAGCTTCAATTTCCTGGATTCTCAATCCTTGGATGAGCCAATAGTAGAGTCAGACTTGGGAGTGTTGTTGGAATTCAGACACACTCGTCTAAGCCTGAGATGCAGTGACCCAGCCATCATCCTGGTCAGAGCCTCGCACTCCAGCCCATTGGTCTGCTGTCTGGATTCTTTGATGCCATATGGGAGTTAGGCTTGAGGCTGTGGTGCCCCTTCCAACACTGTAATAGTGTCTGGGGTGCCATTGGTGCTTAACAAAGGAAGATGGCGGTCCTAGTACTGGCGGTTGTGTAGGGGTGATTATTCTCATTATGTCATATGATGTAGATGTCGAATGCTCCCCCAACTCTCATCTCTAAAATAAAATGACTCTTCTAAAACCAGGTAACTAAACAGAGATCCTGTCATATTTTTTACCTATTTTTTTTTTTTCATGTAAGTCCTAAAGGATACTGAACAGGAGGAAGTCAACACTGTGTTCTGGAGCTAGCAGGAGCCTCTGAGTTTGACTAAAGAATCTGTCATTGACTCATTATCACAACCTTTCCTGGAAAATAAGGTCTCTCAGTCTGTTGGGGCTGCTATACAAAAACACCAGAACCTGGTGGCTTATCCACGACAGAAATTTATTTCTCACAGTTCTGGAGGCAGGGAAATCCTAGATCAAGTCACCAGCAGATTTGGTGTCTTGAGAATGCCCGCTCCTGGTTCGTAGACTGCTGTCTTCTTGGTGTGTCCTCATGTGGTGGAAGGAGCACGGGGGCTCCCTGAGGTCCTTTTCATTAGGGCACTAATCCCATTCAGGAGGGCTCCACCCTCATGACCTAATCATCTCCCAAAGGCCCCATTTCCAAATACCATCCCACTGGGGGTTAGGATTTCAACATAAGAATTCTAGGGAGACACAAACAACATTCAGCCTAATAATTTTTATCTACCTTGTGACACTATGAGAA